TTTAGAAATTTCCACTGTTGGAGGTTTAGTTACATGTATGTCTGAATTGAGAGTGGAAAAATCGGAATACTGCAAATGCAATGCGGTGAAATATGTACAAATTTGCAAAATTAAGGGAAAAGTAATGGTAAGACTCAATACTTCTCCAACTAAAAGACCAAATATCTAAATACCTGCACAATTTGAATTTATGGACTGTTTAGGCACCGATTTCATGGAAATTTGGAATTTGTGGACATTCACTTATGTTAGAATTCAGAGGGGAAAACATCCGAATGCAGCAAATGACATGGGTTGGAATATGTACATATTTTCAAAGTTAATGATAAAGCAAAGAAAAGACTCTTTACCTCTCTAACTAAATGGCTGAATATCTAAATACCAGGTCGATTTGATTTGTTGATTACTTACCAAATGATTCATTGGAAAATGCACTATTTTTGGACCTTCGGTTATGTTAAAATTGAGAGGAGAAAACATCGGAATGCAAAAAATAACATGGGCTGAAATATGTACACATATTAAAAGTTAAGGGTAGAGACATGAAAAGACCTTCAGATATGTTAGAATTCCGAGGTGAAAACATCAGAATGCAGCAAATGAGTCAGGGTGGAATATGTACTTTTTAGGGGTAGAGGAGAAAAAGACTCAATACCTCTCAAATTGAATGTCCACATTTATAAATGCCTGCTTGATTTCAATCATGGACTATTCAAGAATTGATTTCCTTTACAATTTAAACTTTTGGAGGTTTAGTCATGTCAGAATTCAGAGGGGAAATCATTGGAATGCAGCAAATAAGATGGGGTGAAATATCAACAAATTTTCAAAGTCACGTGTGGAGGAGAGAGAAGACTTAATACTTCTTTAACTAAACAGCCAAATTCAGAAAATTTAGATTTTTTGAGCTTTAGGTATGTTAAAATTCAGACGGCACAAAGACCAGAATGCAGCAAATAAGACAGGGTGAAATAAGTTTGAATTGATGAAATTAAGGGTAGATAGAGCAATGAAATGACTCAATACCTCTCATTTGGTAATATCCGAATGAAATATTCTTCATTGGATATGTAAAACAAGATGAAAAATGAGATCAGTTGAGTTTCACTAACCACATAGCCACAGACAAATGCTTAATTAGGACTAGTCCTTATACAGAGCCAACTTTGCTGCACAACCCTCCAATTTTAAGATCAACTTACAAAGGAGAAATAAAAAACATGAAGAAACTGCCCTAAACAGTCACCTTTATAACATAAGCCTTGAAGCTTTACGTCGTGGAGACTAAAACCAAGGCTTGTGGTAATACATTATGCGGATCGATCTCTCTTGAAAGATGGAGGGTTCCGATAAGAACCGTTGAGCGTGTACTCAATGTTTCATCCAGCTGCTCTCATCATCCTCAAGAGTGGAGCCCAAGCCATGCTCCCGAATTTAGAGAACAACTGTACATTTATACAACTCAGGTACAGCTGCTTTTTTTTCAAAAGCTGGAACATGCCTTTTATTACTGTCAAGGACCGGCTTGATTTAAGTCTAATCTTGGAATGTGTTATGAGTTTGGTAGCCATCCGAGTAGTCATAA